AAGCGATTCTCTTGCCTCAGCCTCCCAAGAAGCTGGGGCTAAGACGCCCGCCACAACGCCCAGCTTTTTGTTGTTGTTTTTGTGGCAGTCGTTGTTTTAGCAGCGCCGGTTCGAACCCGCCAGCCGCGGTGTCAGGTGGCCGGCGCCCCACCCACTGAGCTACGGGCGCTACCTATTCTGTAATTCTTAAATTAAAAAAAAAAAACCCTCTGATATTAGTTTAAAACTCGAGTCTTGATCTTGAGTCGAATTCAAGAGACTAAGTAACTTTAAAAATAAAGACAAATGCAATTATCATTCACACACCAAAGAACCCATCATTAACACGACAAACGCCACCGGTGGGGGCGGGGAAGCTCTTTACACTTCGTCATTCCCCGGAACACACCTGCCTCGCAATTTCCAAGTAGCTAAAGTTTTAATGAAATGCAAGTTATCTTGAAAATTCCACTTGCGTTTTTGTTCTCAGACCGTGACAAAAACTTAAGGCGTTTTTCCCCTTGACCTGCTACTCTCATCTCGCCAACTAGACAGCAGACCCGCGGACCCGCAGGTGAAGGGCGCCCAGCGCCCGGCCCACAGCGCCCGCGACCGCCGGCTGCCCCCGCGGGCCGGCCGGAGCTGGGAAGCGCGTCGGCCCCGCACACTTTAACCCGGCTGCGCCCGGGTCCTCGCGCCGTCGGCGCGGTATCGCTCGAAACTCGGAGGCCCTGCCCCATTGGCCGCGGCCGCCACTCCCTCCCGCGGGACCATACTATGCCGGCCGACCAGAACCCGGGCCCGAGAGTCCCGGCGCGGTCCCCGCCCGCCTCCCTGGGGATGAGGCCGCCACACCGTGCGCGAGTGAAAGACCTGTGAGGGGAGAGGGCTGGGAGGCTGGAACCGCCCGGCCTCGCGCTTACCTGGGCTGGGGACGCCGGGGCGTCAGTGACCACAGCGTAAAGGGCCCAAACGAGAAAACGAGGGGGTGGCACCGCGGGAGTCGCCAAGTAATGGCGGCCTCAGAGCGCCCACCCCGCGCTACTCCCCGGGAGGACCCCAGCCGAGGGCCTGCCCGCCCCTTAAAACCCCCCTGCAAGCTCCGCCTCGGGGCGGGGCCTTAGGCTCTTAAATGGACAATGACACCGCCCCGGAAATCAGCCCGCTGGGCGAGACTCCAGATAAACCCGCGATGCCTGCTGGCGGCAACAGGCGTCTACAGTCCGGCGACCACGGCTTGAAGGGTCGCTGCTGAAACTGGGGCTGGCTGTCGGACCAATAAATAACCCATTTATTTCTGTCACGAAGGAGGCTGTAGGATCAGTCCATCAGGGGCTTCAACTGGCCGCTAGATTCATTCCTCCGTTCGTTCAAGAAATTAATTCCTTCTGCAAATATTTACTGACTCCTCTCTCTCCCTCCTTCGTAGAGATTAAAACTGATTTAAGTCCCTGCTGTTGTTAAAGGAACTTTCACTGTGCTGGGCAGAGGGACAATAAACAAATGCATGTCAAATGGTGCTCTGTGTCATGAAGAAAAGTAAGACTGGGAAAGAGAAAAAAATAATTGATTGCTATTTACCATAGGATGGTCAGTGAGGTCCTCTGTGACCAGGTGACATGTCCATTCATTATATAGATCATTTATCAAAGTGCCCATGTGAGTTCTTTGTTTTAGATACTGGAGATTAAACAAATAAACAAGACAGACAAAAATCCCTCATGGAGCTTAAATTCTAGCAGGAAAGACAGAAAATACCTGAGATAAATAAGTGAAATTAAATACTCTGTTAGACATTGATATTTTCTAAAGAGAAAAGTAAAAGCAGGGGATAGTGATAGGTAATGAAGCATTGCAATTTTAGACAAACTGATTAGGGAGAAGGAAAGTCTAAGAAGGTGGCATTTGAGTGAAAACTTGAAGGAGGTGAAGAATGGGCCCATGGACATCTGGGGAAGAGCAGAGGGAGCAGCAAGGGCAAGGGCCCTGCAAGCGGATGTGCCTGGCCTGCTTGGGGTAGGCCGATGTGGCTGGAGGGAGGGAGCAACAGGAAAAGTAGGAGGAGGTGAAAGTGGTGTGGGGGCGGGGTTGGGGAGCCTGGCCACAGCTACAGGAGGCACAGTGTTTTCCCCGGGACACCTGCTCAGGCCCCTAAATTTCACATCTATCCTCCATGCTGCTGTTGAAATACAAACAAATGGCTCGGCGCCTATTGTTCAACCAGCTAAGGCGCCAGCCACGTACACCTAAGGTGGCGGGTTCGAATCCCCAGCCCGGACCCGCCAAACAACAATG